CAGCACTTGGACCCCCACGCAGGGCTCTGACTCCTGGGGCAGCACTTGGACCCCCACGACAGTGTTCTGACCCCCGGGGCAGCACTCGGACCCCCACGCAGGGCTCTGACCCCTGGGGCAACACTTGGACCCCCACGTAGGGTTCTTACCTCTGGGGCAGCACTCGGACCCACAGCAGGGGACACCCAGGGCAGCACTCGGACCCCCACGCAGGGCTCTGACCCCTGGGGCAGCACTCAAATCCCATGCAGGGCTCTGACCCCCGGGGGCAGCACTCGGACCCCCACACAGGGCTCTGACCCGAGGCAGCACTCGGAACCCCACGAAAGGGTTCTGACCGCTGGGGCACCAGACGGACTACCCACGGCAGGGGACCCTCGGGGCAGCACTCGGACCCCCACGCAGGGCTCTGACCCCCAGGTCAGCACTCGGACCCCCACGCAGAGCTCTGACCTTCGGGACAGCACTTGGACCCTGTGGTGGAGGACCCTTGGGCCAGCACTAGGACCCCCATGCATGGTCCAACCCCCTGGGCAGCACTCGGACCACCACACAGGGCTCAGACCCCCAGGGTAGCAGTGGGACCCCAAGCAGGGTTCTGACCCCCGGGGTAACAGTTGGACCCCCAAGCAGGGTTCTGACCTCCGGGGTAGCAGTCGGACCACCACGCAGGGCTCAGACCCCCAGGGTAGCAGTCGGACTTCCAAGTAGGGTTCTGACCTCCGGGTAGCACTCGGACCCCCACGCAGGGCTCTGACCACCCGGGCAGCATCCTGACCCCCCCCACGCAGGGCTCTGACCTCCGGGGTAGCAGTCGGGCCCTCACTACAGGGTTCAGAACCCCTGGAAAACACTCGGACCCCCTCGCAGGGCTCTGATCCCCAGGGCAGCACTCGGACCCACACGACAGTGTTCTGACCTCCGTGGCACTACTCGGACCCCCACGCAGGGCTCTGACCTCCGGGGCAGCACTCGGACCCCCACGACTGTGTTGTCACCTCCGAGGCAGCACTCGGACCCCCACGCAGGGCTCAGACCCCCGGGGCAGCACTCGGACGCCCGCGCAGAGCTCTGACCTCCGGGGCAGCACTCGGACCCCCACGCAGGGCTCAGACCCCCGGGGCAGCACTCGGACCCCCACGCAGGGCTCAGACCACCGGGGACGGTAGTGGACTTCCAGGACCAGACTCCAACGGCGGGCGGAGGCCGCAGAGGGGGACGCGTGGTGGGAGGCGCCCGCCCCGGCCCAATACCGGCGCCCGGCCCCGCTGGCCGCGCTACCTGGTCCCGGGTCTCCGGAGAGGAGGACCCGCAGAAGTGAAGCTTGTCTGGACCGGCGGCGTCCCGCCCCCCAGCGCCAGCTAGCGCCCATCAGGCGGCGGCGGGCACGTGACGCCCGGCGGCCAATGGGGAGCTCGCACAGAAGCCCCACCCCCTCCGAGGTCCCGCCTCTTTGCCTGCGGCAAAAGGCGGTATGTGGGCCCTGCGGGCCGCCGTCCGCCCAGGGGCCTGGGTCTCCCGCGTGGTTCGCGGCCGCGGGGCCCCGAAAGCTGCGCCCCCTCTGCCGGCCTTGCCGGATCGCGCGCTGGCCGCCTTCGGCCCCGGGGGACTCAAGGGCCCAGGAGGTGGAGGACGGGGCCCACGGGCTGACGGCCCGAGCAGCCGAACGGGAGAGGAGGAGGAGGAGCCAGAAGATGCGGAGGAGGAAGAGGAGGAGGAGGAGCTACTGAGGAGGGACCCTTTGCTGCCAGCGGGGACCCAGCGCGTGTGTCTGATTCACCCTGAAGTCAAGCGGGGACCGCGGAAGCAGCAGCTGAACGGAGGTGACCCGGAACAGTACCGCGGCCGGAGTCGGGGTCAGGGACACTGAGAGGCGGGGCTTCCGGGTGGAGAGTCGGAGGGGGCGGGGCTCCGAGTGCTGGCGCTGGGGGAAAGGGCCGGGGACACTGAGAGGCGGGGCTTCCGGGGTGGAGACTCGGAGGGGGCGTGGCTTCGAGTGCTGGTGGTCGGGGTGGGGACTAGGAGGGGCTGAGCTCCGAGACTGTCGTTCAAGGAGGGGCCCTGGGGGCGGGGCCCGGGACTTAGAGGCGGGACTGCGGCGGGAGGGGTGGAGACTCAGGGGCGGGGTTCCAGGGCAGGTGCTCTGGGTGGAGACTCGGAGCGCCCCAGTGAAACCGCTCCCCGCCGCCCCTGCAAACCCGCGCTGGGCCGTGGAATCAGTCCCCCACCCCCCCATCCCCGTATCTGCCCCGTGCGTGGTCTTCCCTCTCCAGCATGCACTAGAATCGCGCAGTGCGCGGCCTTGCAGACCGGCTCTTTTCGCTCAGCGTGCACCCCAGGGTCGTGCGTGACCTGCTGTGGCTCGACCGCTGCTTTGTGTTCGGTGCTGATGATATCTATCCCGTTATCTGGGCGCGCCCGGGGGCTCCGTCGGGAACGCACCTGCCTTCAGCTCAGGTCATGATCCCGGGGTCCTGGGATCGGTCCCGCCTGGGCTCCCTGCCCAGTAGGGAGGGAGTCTGCTTCTCCCTCCGCCTGTCCTCCTGCTCGCTCGTTCTCTCTCTCTGTCCGTGTCTCTCCTGCTGTCTCTCTCTCTGCCCGTGTCTCTGCCAGAGAGACGATTGACGACAGATGCCTCAAACTGCTTTCCAAGGGGCTGCGCCGCTTGCCTTCCCGCCAGCGGTGACGGACAGATCTCGCTGCTGGTGCCCTCACCCGCTTAGGTGCTGGCCTCCTGCTGCATCTGGGGCCCGTCTGATCAGTGCGTACCAGGCTCTCCTAGAAGTTTGCCCATTTTCCCCCGATGAGCCATGGCGCAGCCCACGGCCTGGCGCTTGCCGTCCCCGTGTGCTCTGGGAGGTGTGTGTTGGGTCTGCAGACCATCGTGTCATCACGCTCTTTTCCTGCCGCGGACTCTCGGGCGTTCTTTGTGCGCCGTGGAGAGCGTTCCTTTCTCAGCGGCTTTAGGAAAGTTTCAGTCCAGTCCCCGGCCTGACTCGTCCTGCTCTCGATGCCGTTCCCAGGGCACATGTTGCAGCTGTCACTGTCGTCCCATCTGCTTGCCGGGGGGTCGTGCCTCAGCCTTGCCCGGCCCGCTCACAGGCCCATCACAGGAATTCTTCACTTCCCTTGGAGCGATTCTGACCGCTCGCCTTGGCGTTCCGTTCTTTCCTGGCCTTTCCATCTGTCTGCTTACGCTGCGTGTCTGTTCTGGAGCACTTTCTGCTTAATCCGCTGGAGCCCGCGCGGTACGGATCGTAGTGGGATTTTTCCAAAGTTGGTTTATTTATTAGTCGGGGACAGAGAAACCACAAGCAGGGGGAGCGGCAGGGTCAGAAGAAGAAGCAGGCTCCCTGCCCAGCTTCTGCATTGCAGAACTCGTTCCCGGGACCGTGTGGGCCGGGGACGCGGTCCGTAGTCCCGTCGTGCGTGAGGCCCTGCGTCGGAACTGTGGACTGCACACACTGCTTCTCGCCGCTCGCTCCCACCAGGTGGGCACCCAGCCCTGGGCTTGGGCGGTTCCACGTGGCGATTGGACCACACCCCCAGGTGCTGGCCGCGGGCACTCCCGGAAGTCTCACGACCCCAGCAGAGGGGGGACATGGCCCCACCAGGGAGGTGGCGAAAGACAGTGCCTGAGGGGTTTGCTGATGGGCGACGTGTGACGCTGAAGGAGGGAAGCGGGGGGTGGTCCCGTGCCTCTGATGGGAGCACCGGAAGGGTGGAGGTGCGGAGGACTCACGATGCCCGTCAGGAGTCAGAGCTGAGGAGACCGTGCGTCCCCTCAGCTCAGAGGATGGGGCACCCCGTCCCCCACCAAGCAGAGCGTGCAGCTTCTCCGCAGGACTTTGGATCCCCCCCCAGCCTCATCATGGACCCCCCCGCCCCCCGCCCCGCCGGGCTCAGTTTCCTCCCTGTGCCTGAGCTCTGCAGACAATTCGGGGACCTAAAATTGGCCCAGAGCCCTCAACACCTGGTCACTGGAGTGGGGACAATGAGCACGGGGTGCGTGTCCGGAAGGGACGGCTCCTCGGGGACATTGTGCTGTGGGGAGGGGCACAGCGTCGCCCTGTGGGGCGGTCGGGAGAGCGCAGTGTCTCAGGAGTGCCCTGCGCTGCCTCCCTGCTCGGGAATGCTGTCAGGACAAGCCTCCTGCCTGAGGCCCCAGTCCCCCACGCCCTCAGCTCCTGGGACCGGCCCCTCCTTGGGACCCCAGCCCCCTGTCTGGGATGCTCGCTGAACTTTCCCCAGGCCCCTCCTGCACAGGCTGGCACCAAGGCCCCATACATGATCCTGTCCGTCCTGGGTGGCTGCTTGCTATCTTTCCTGTGTAGCATTGGCACGGGGGGCCAGGGACACCCACTCCTTGCCCACAGGGCTCACAGCCCACCCTGTGGGGAGTGCAACGCGTTCCCTGGGCCCTCAGGGGCTCCATGCAAGATATGCTGTGTGCTGGGGCACGGCAGACCATGGCAGACCCGTTTGCTGCCAAGTCCCCAGTTACCACATTAGGCGGACCCGTCCTTGCATTCCCCTGGCCTCGTGCTCCCCTTCTCGCCGTCTGTGGCTGGAGCAGCATCGCTGTGTCTTGGAACCAATGGGTGCGGGGGCGCTTTCTCACGGCCTCTGTGCATGCTGCAGGGAGCTGTCCCAGCCAAGGGACATGGGCCGGGCAGGCAAGGCAGGGCTGGACGGGGCCCAGGGCCGAGCCCATGGGGACGTGTCCCTCACTCTGGCCCTGTGTCTCCTGAAAGCCGAGGGGCAGGTGGCAGAAGCAGAAGCACTGGTCCACACCCTGGGTGGCTGGTCGGTGGTGGAAAGGATGGTGGTGCCCAGCAAAACACCCGAAGGAAAGCTCATCTTCGGTAAAGGGACTTTGGAGCGCCTGACAGGTGGGTCCCTGCGCCCCTCCCTTCCTGAGAGAAGCAGAGCGACAGACGGGCTCTCACCTGGGCCCTATAGAGGCGTCCTCAGGGGAACTTGGATCACACATGGAGAAGCCCACTGTGCCTCTCTCACAATTTGCTCCGTGCCCAGTGGTGCCACTGGGGCCATTCGGAGTAGGGTAGACACCGGCCCCGAGGCCCCCGGCCTCTCTCCCCCTCCACACAGCGTGGTGGGTGTGAACTCTGTTTCCACGGACTCCCGAGGGTCTGCAGCCCCTGCTGACATCCAGCTCACGGCACAGATCAGCAAGCTCAGCACATATGCCCAGAGGGCTGTGCGCCGCCCAGCTCCGTCACCCCGAGGTCTTAGACCCGTTCAGTCCCCGTGGGGTTATGCACCTGCCATGTGTCGGCAAGACCCACACCCCTGCAGGTGGAGCCCAGTCCTCCCCTTGACCCCCATCCCGCACACCCAACTTCCCTAACGTGTGCCCAGAGACTGGAGGCTGTCTGGCGGACCCGGCCAGCCAAAGCTCTGGGTCAGTCCCACGATGGACTGCACGGCGCACAGACATCCGATGGGGCCTTCTCTCCTCCCCAGAGAAAATCAGAGGGTCGCCAGAAATCACGGCGGTCTTTCTGAACGTGGAGAGGCTGGCCACGCCTACCAAGGTATGCAGGAGCCCCTCTGTGTTTCCCACGCCGGTGCGCTGGGGGTGTTGGGTCAGCATCCCCCTGGGACAGGACAGCTGAGGGTACCGGACCGCAGCCAGCGTCCCATCCGCCCCCTTCACCCGAGGTGCCGCCACAGACGTCTTCCGTCCCTCCCTCTCCCTTTGCAGAAGGAACTGGAAGCCAGCTGGGGCGTGCCGGTGTTTGACCGATTCACGGTGGTCCTTCACATTTTCCGTTGCAACGCCCGGACGAAGGAGGCACGGCTGCAGGTGGCACTGGCCGAGCTGCCCCTTCTCAGGTACCTGGCACTCCGCCAGCTGTCTCAGCTTACCCCAGACCCTCTTCTGGCGGTCGTATGTCGGACTCGACCGCCACCTGGAGCGTGGCGAGGACAGAGTGCGGGGCTGGCCACGCCTTCCCGGACAGCTGCTTGTCAGGTGCCGTGCCCAAGCAGCATGTCTGCCAGGACACGTCCCCCTGGTAGGCCCATCACCCCACTGTGGGGCACTCCGTCCGCGGTGTGACGGCCTGGGCAGGAGGGAGGACCACCTCGCCCCGTTCTCTGCACCCAGAGTTCTTGTCCTCACTTCTCTGTGTTGGCACCTGCCGAGCTCGCACTGGATGGGCGTGTGTTTCCGTTCCTGTCTGCTGAGATGCCCCCTTCCCACGGCAGGTCCCACCTGAAAAGCAGCACTGCCCGCCCGGATGGACAAGGACAGGGCTCACGCTATATCATGGGGTCAGGTAACGTGTGAGGTCTTGTCACAGGGTGCTGGGGCGGAGGGGGGATGTCCCAGCAGCCACCCCTAGGGAAGAGGACAACATTGCTGAAAGATCCAGTGGGGCAAGGGCGGCATGTGGGCCTCTTGTGTGTCATCTTCAGACAAACTGAGATAGGTAGGCCGTCTCCAGTGGCAGCTGGAACAAAGGACCACAAACCGGGGGCCTAAAAACCACAGGAATCTATCCTCCCAGCTTCGGAGAGCAGAGTCTGAGATCCGGGTGCGGCAGATACTAAGATCCAGGCGGGACAGGGATGCTGAGATGCACGCAGGGCTGGGCCACTGAGTTCCAGGAAGGGCAGAGATGCCGACATCCAGGTGGGACAGGGATGCTGAGATCCAGGAAGGACAAGGATGTGGAGGACCAGGTGGGGCAGGGCTGTGCTCTCTCCTGAGGCTCTAGGAGTTGGTCCTTCCTGCCTCTTCCAGCTTCTGGGGCTCCAGCATCCCTGGGCTGATCACCACGTCCCCCCCATCTCTGCCTCTGTCCTTACGTGGCTTCTCCTCTCTGTCTCCTTCCATCTTTTATGTGGACGTTTATGTTTTGATTTAGGCCCCCCTCATCTAGGATGAGCCCATCTCAGATCCTCGAATGGTTGTATGTGCCAAGACCCTATTCCGAAACGGGGTCCCGTTCACAGGTCCTGGGGGTCAGGCTGTGGATGTGTCTTTACGGGCACCTCTCAAGTCGGCTGTGGATGTCATGGGGCTGTCCTTGCAAGGCTCCCCCTTCCTCCCGCAGCTGATGTGAGAGGGCAGAAGGCCACGGGCAAGACCACCTTCGGCTGCACAAAGCCGTCTTGCAGGTGGGAAGGCGTTGAGGCAGTGGCCTCGTGGTAGAGCAGGCTAGGGGGATCCCAGTGAGAAGATCCCGGTCCATGTCCCACACAGGGACCTCCGTGGCGCCCTTTGCTCTGACGTCTTTCTTGTCTCCTCCACGCGCTGACACGCGATCTCTGGCGTCTCTAGGAGAATCGTTCATGCAGGTGCAGCAGCGCCTCTTGAAGGAAAAGGAAATGAAGATCCGGAAGGCCCTGGAGAGACTGAGGCAGAAACGGCGTCTCCTGGGGAGGCAGCGGAGGCGGCAGGAGTTCCCGGTGATCGCCGTGGTGGGGTACACCAACTGCGGTGAGAGCCCCTCCGGGCGCGAGAAGTGGGGTCCGCGCTGCCCTCGCACCCTGTACCCTTGCGCCGGGCCCGTGTGTTTGGGGAGAATCCGTCGCAAATGCACCAAGACCGTGGCACTCAGAGGGCCGACCCGTGAGCACAGGTGGAAAACAGGGCTGCCGTCCTCAGGGGGTCACAGAGCCCACGGCCCACACCCCGTCGGGTCATGGGTGTGGTTGTCGAGCGCTGGACGGTGCACAGGGCTCCTGTCCCTCACCAGGGCGTTGTAAACTCAGTGATAGAAAAGAAACCAAGACGTTTTTAAGCTCATTCCCGTAGACCTGCCCGTAGAAGAAGGAGAACCATCTGGGTTGCGACCGATGAGACATCATGGCACGTCTCATGGTTCCGTTCACGTGTGGGCTTAGCGCGGTCGCAGGCAGGATGCCGGCCCTCGGCTTTCCTTCGTGCTGAGGCCCTGGGCTCATGGGGACCCTCCCACACAGGGCAGCACGGCGGGCTCACTTCCTCACCCTCGAGTCTCGCCCTGCAAGCGTGAGCCGCCCTAAGGTCCAGTCCCCGTGCGTGGCCGGAAGACCACCGTGACGCCACCGCCCCCTGTCCTCAAGGAGCTGGCGGTCCCTGTCCAAGGAGAGAGGGAACTTCCCACAAAACCTGGGACGGGACACCGGGGATACACCTAGGTTTCGGAAACCCCTGTCAGCACCACAGTTCACCGCTGTGCGAAACGCAGGCGACTTCTCTGCGGCCGTGTGCGGCGGCGAATACGGGGGCTTGGTGCGTGGTGGACGGGCATTACACGGGGGTCTGTTGGGGTCCCTGAGGCTCGGCCGGCGTGTGGGATGAGAGGAGGCGTCCAGAACCAGGCACCTCCTGTCCATCCACAGCGCCCGGTCACCCTGCGGCAGGCGGGTCCCCTCCTGCCACACCTTCAGGTTAGGGCTCCTCAGTGGCCGCCGGCCATGTCCGAGGGCTAGCCTGGGACCAGTGCGCCCTGAGCAAGGTCTGGGTCCGGACACGGGTCCACCTGTGGGTAAGGCTGTGGGGGAACACCCTCTGGGGGCCGTTGGACACACACAGCTCCCGACGGTCTACACCATCACACTCCATCGGCACCGTCACCCGTCACACAGACACCCACCCCCAACACACAGCGCACACACCCCTACTGTCATCCCCGTCTACACAGTCACCCACCCTCTCACACAGTGTACCCGTCCCCACTCCACTATCATCCCGTCTACACAGACACCCACCCCCGACACACAGCGCACACACCCCTACTGTCATTCCCGTCTACACAGTCACCCATCCTCTCAGTGTACCCGCCCCCACTCCACCATCATCCCGTCTACACAGACACCCACCCCCGACACACAGCACACACACCCCTACTGTCATCCCCGTCTACACAGTCACCCACCCTCTCACACAGTGTACC